CACGTGTAGATTAGTGTTGGATTAAAGGTACGCCTAGAGGGCACCTTGACAGTTAGACAACGGAACCTAGTTGTTCCGTCCCGATCCAGCCCCTTCTGGCAAAAAGCTGCCACGGTCGCACAGGGACACTTCAAGGACACAGAATACACACATAGACTTCAACCTCACGACTGGCTCAAATCTAACAATTAGATAAGAAAATTTAGATCATATGCGCTGCAGCCTCGGCTGTACGCACAACTGTTCCTCATCTCTCCCACCTTCTTATTTTCGAAATACATCACCAGTATCCAGCACACCGCCGCAGGCTTAATGACAACAAGGTATTTTACATCGTTATAATATATTATTAAACATTATTAGATAACGTAGATGACAAGCGAGCTACGAATACAAGCGAGCTGCGAGGTGGGGCTTCTATACAAAAAACGTCGGTGCGGTAATTTTTAACTTGAGAGGGAAAAATCGGAAAGACCCCGCACCTTTTTTTATAGGTTTATAACTTGAAAAACATATCAATATCACTTTTTCTAGGTTTATAGCTATTTTATTTCAAGATTTATTTCAAAAGATACTAAAAATTTCCTTACAAAAAAGTCTTTTTAGGATGCACAGGCTATTAAATTAGTGAAAAATAAATACTATCTATCATTATTATCTGTAGAAAAGGCTACATTAAATGCAGCAGGTCCGGGATCTTTCTGATTTTCTAAAAAGTTAGACGCATGGTTACGCACCGACTTTTTTTGTATAGAAGCCCTACCACGCAGCTCGCTTGTCATCTAAGTTAATAGTAATAATATTAGAATAATGCTTATGAATAAGTCGTAACGATCGCTCTTTTACTATACTTTAATTTATTAACTTTAGTTCCGTTTTAATAGGTTTTTTTCCCATACTTATTGATTAAATATCGAAAAACTTAAAAACACGTTTATTGTTACGGGGCAGCTTGTAGACCAGGACGAAAGTGCCTATCAATATCTACAATTGTACAAAAATACTTGGGTGAATAAGAGAAGAGAGATCTGCAGCACCAGCCAAATCTGGTAGTACGATAGATCCCAGATCCTGACCCATAATATCTACCTATCTGTGTAGTAGGGCAACGCGTCTATCCCAGCAAACCACCTGATGGGTGTCATATCCATCACAAGGATAAAAACTTCTAGAAAATTAAAAATGAAAAATATTTGTCAGATGTTGGATCCCAGATATGGTGCCCTTAGGTGCAGTACCCACTAAGGGGCTGTCAAAGGAACAGTAGATCCACCCTGGCATGGTGCAGTATGCTATTTAGCTGTAGATTAGCCCTGACGAGCATACTTGAGAATGACAATAACATTTGTAGCAACCGCTCACACTCCCAAGACTTGTGACTCTTCTAAAATCTCACAATATTAAAAATATTCGTTATAGTTCTTAATTTTTCTAGGTGATATTTTTTAAAATGAACGGCTTTATAAATCATAATTAGGATCTAATTGATAATGAATTTCGACTACTTCTTAATATATAAAGGTATTAATAGTTAAAAACTTTATATAGTAGATTATTTATATAGAATTTGTTAAAACATTTTGAAAAAAAATATTAAAACTAAGTAAGGCTATAAGTTTCGTTTTTTAATAATTTGTATAAAAAGAGGTCAGCTTTATAATAGCTACTAATTAGCTTATATTATTGAAATAAAATATTTAATAATTTTAATTCTCCCTAATTAATACGATATACGGTTTATTTTGCTTCTTTAATTGTTTTTAATATACGTTAAAAAGACCCAAAGTTTAATATAAACTCTAAAAGCGCTTTTATTTAATGAAAAGATTATAATAATAATTGTACTTATTGTTATTAATAATAACTTTGTTTTTTTTAATATTACATCATTTATATATAATTATTCAGACAATAAGTTATTCTTAGATTATTAAAAACTTAAAATATAAGGCGAGTATATATATGTATCTCTTCATTGCTATTAATTATATTACTCGATATTTTTCTTTTTTAGTAAAATATCATTTTACGTATATATCTTATATAAAGAATTTATATTCTTATTATATATATAAAACAAAATATATACTTTATCATAGAACGCAACTTTTTATCTTTCTTAATATTTTTTCACTACGTTTTTTAATTTTTTTAATAACGGTTTGTTTACGTTGAAAATTTAACTATAATTTTTGTATTACTTAAAAAAGCTAGTAGTTTTTATTTTAATAAAACGTTAAGATATCGTTTTTAAACTTATTATCATATAGTTAAAAAAAGACCAGTTGTTTAATCAAATATATAGTTATTATTAAATGATGAAGATATAAACTCTAACCTTTAAAAATTAAAAACTTCTTATAAAACTTTTAAAAACTATCGACTTATTTTTTAATTTACCGTATAATATTACATGAGGTTTAACAAGTTTTAACAATATTCCGTTAATTTAAGTATATGTACAAATCTTAAATAAGGTTTAATTTTATAAATAAGGCTTTATATGTATATAGATTAACGTATAACGTTTAAACTTAATCTTATAAACGTTATTTATAATTAATATTTTATTGTATTAAAGTAACTATAACGTTTTACTTTAATAAATCTAATATATAATACTAGGCCTTGATTTTTTGTTATTTTTAAAATATTTAAATTTTTTTTTTTTCGTTTAAAAACCTTAAAATAGAATAAATCGACGGTAATATTATATATAACGGGTATATGTGACGGCCTGCACAGACCTTCCCACATGACAAGTGGATACTTCCTAATAGGGGAAGGATCTGACCAGAGGATCCCCTTAAAGGGGCAACCTCCCACTGTACCTATCTCTCTCTCTCTCTTCCTTTCCTCTCTAGTCTTGATATTCTCGTCAATAGAGTAATAGCTGCTTGCTGCCGGCCATGTCCCAGCTCCTCAGTACGCTCGCCGTGACAGTATATATAATGCTTAAAAATAAAAGACTTTTATTATATACGTTTTTATCGTGTATTACGTAATAAGGCTATATATTAAACTTAATTGTATATAAAACGGTAACTTTTAAAAAGGGTTATAAGGATTATTACGTATATAATAGTTAATAATAAACATTGTTATGTAATATTTCTACTTTATCTTCATTTCTATTAGTCGCTGTGGTATTGCACTGTTTAAAATAACTTCCTTTCTTTATAACCAGAATGACATCCGCTTATTTAGAAGCAGGCGGAAATGCGTACCCCTGTTGATACTGTGACAATGATCGATTTTGCAGCATTTACTTCTGGCGACAGAATAGTCATTGACGAATTCGATCCCGGACTCGCTCCTCATCTAGCGGAACGGCGACTGCAGTATCGCAGCATCTGTGGCTATAATGTCACGCTGCACGGGTGTGACACTATGGAAGGGCGCGTAGCGAGACCCAAACTGCGTGTAACTTTCTGCCCCCCATTCATATTGCATGCTATCGTTTGGGGGCAGGGGAGCTTGCCATGGTCCATAAAATGAGTGGCACCGCCATAGCCTGCTTCTGTAGTACGAAACGTGATTGGCATGTTGATATCACCGTGAACCTAATATTTCCATGATGTTACCTCCGGCTCCAGTGGTCGCCACAAGACCCAACATATTGTGGTACAATTAGTCTTAAGTTAGAGCCCCTACCTGAGTGACACCATCGGTCGAAAGGGTACAAACGGTTATATACAATACGCAGACTATGACATAATCCAGGAACACGAAAGAACTGCAAAATACGGAGGAAACCACATAGGTATTCCGCTTGGCTTAGCTGACTTAATCCACTGAATCTGACCTTTGCTTGAATTGCGCAACAGGGCCATGTTGCTGACTGCCCAATTAGCAGTAGAGCTGGAACTCCCCTTTCCTCTCGCGACCACCAAGTCAACCGTCTCCCAGATGATTGATTCCCTGGTTCAAGTCTCATATCAAACTCCAAAGTCAAGCGTGCGAAGATGTACGACAGTTCATGACACGCCAAGTGCTTCCCTATGCAGCTGCTTGGTCCAACGCCGTAGGGGGTAAAAGAAATGATTGCCCTACTCTCGGCTGTAGTGCGGAACACATGTTCTTCTTCCCCGCGGTGGGAAGCTTCTCAATCATGAACCTCTCTGGCCTCTATACCGCAGGTTCCGCGAAAACCTCGGCGCCTCGATGTATGCTGTAGTGAAGGATTTCGATGTCGATGCGGGATGGCAAGTCCCTGCCACCAAATTGTACTGCCGCTTCTGTCCACTTTACGTTGTAGAATGCTCGGCACCGGCGGCAGCCTTGACCGGGAGGCTCAGGCGCGTACCTCTGTTGATCAGGCAGGCTACCTTACCTAGCAAACATGACATCTGCTGTGGCTCTTCATGTAATCAGAGACGCCGGGAATCGGTATAATGCGGGGCCGCGACAGTATTGCAGCATGTACAACCCCACACCACTATATGAGGAATGTTTTATGTGGCTGAAACAGATGTTGGGGTCGAAGTACCGGGAGGGTAGCATTCAATGCATGGCGCCGGGGACCAGCGGGAAGGGGTTGCAGTACATATATACGGTGTGACTTCCACCAACATCATTCAACGTACCTCGGTACCAGGCCACTGTGGCTGCATTAATACGTCGCCGACTACTCTGATGTATTTCGCCGACTATTTTGAGGCTCTTCGGCTGGTACGTAGCTTACTTTCAGGTACTCCGGTGTACCCCCCGACACTCTCTTGTTCCCCTCACCCTCTTTTCCTCCTAATGTCCACCGACTTCTGGCGGAACCCCTCTACATAGGTACCTACCCGCGGTTGCTACATGATCGTCGCCGGCTGTTCCCCGATGAGGCTCTTCGGGTGACACAAGCCTAGCTCACTTTCAGGTTACCCCGTTTGCCCTCCGCTCTCTTCATCTGGTTCACCCTCTTTGGTTTCAGTTCTCTTGTCCTTCCTGTTCGCTCTCTTCCCTTACCACTACCGCCGCTCCTCGATCCCCTCTTCGTGGCATTTCGCATAATGAGTTCCCAACTGCTCACTTTCCAACCCTTCAAAGGGGTCTATATCCTGCTGCTCCTGCTTACCCCAATCCCTTACCTCGCGTGCCTATCCCTCCTCTACGTCTCTAGACCCCTTCGCCCTCTGCCAGGGTGGCCTCACAAGCTATGCATGAGAGTCGCAATCATTCGTGTCTTCACCCGAGGGGTGGCGACAATCAAATATCAGCGGGCGCCACTGCTCACGCCAGGAAAGGCTAAAGAGAGATTCGCATTGGTCGAACCACCAGTGAATGGCTTCTCCGGCGTCTTGGTATCCTCCACGGTGAAGCCAGCCCCTGTTGGGGTGCTATGGCATCCTGGTATCTTCCAAGCAGACAGGAGAGACTTGACTGGCAAGAGAGTTGTCCTTCAATTCACAGGAGGCGCCTTCGTCCTTGGGTGGGACCCCGAGGAGGTGAGAAACCACGCCTCTTAGCAATGATTGGACGATACAACTTATCTGACCTGTTTCTCAGACAGGGCGTGATTTTGCAGATGTCATGTCCAGGCGATTCCAGGCTACCAACACCCTCTACGTGCAATATCGACTAGCCAGACCTGGGAGTTGCTTTCCTGCCGCTCTGCAGGACACACTGACGGCCTATTCGTATGTGCTGGATCTTGGCGTGGCACCTGAGGATATCTTCCTATCGGGAGGCTCGGCAGGTGGCAATCTTGTCATTGCCCTCCTCCGATATCTCGAAACGCAGCAGGCGAAGTTTCCATTGCCCAGTAAGCCAAGAACTACCGCCAGCATTATCGATGCCGGGTTGGCATAGCTTGTTTCAAGCCATTGCCGCCGGAGTGTGTTCCGTTTGCCGCATCTATATTTCATTATACGTTTGATCTCGCCGATAGCTAACGCTGGATACGAGCAGGAGGTGTAATGCTATTTTCTCCCTGGGTGAAGGTGTCCCGTGATGCCGGCCAGGAATATGATCGTTCCGCAGCATCGCAAGTCGACGTCCTATACGGGCCTCTTCTAGACTGGGGTGTCAGGGCCTACATGCCAACAGGAGACGTTTCACCCGAAGTCGGACCTTTCATCTCTCCGTTGAACCATCCATTTCGGGCTAGGACGCCGATCTTCATACAGACTGGGACGGGTGAGGCCTTCTATCCCACAATAAGAAGTTTCGCAGAGGAAATGACCGCAGTTGAGGGCAACTGCGTCAGGCTCCACAAATCGGCGCTCGCACCCCACGATATTCTAATGAGTCAGAAGATCTTGGGCTTGGAGTTTCAACTCGAAGATGCTCTGGATGATGCTCGGAACTTTTTTGACCAGGCTAAACTGGAGAGGAGTGGTAGGGAAGTTGGTGGATAACCAGTTCCACGTAAGGCCGCTGTCTATGCCTTCATCCTGGGGGCCGCCTGGGGGCCGCTTGACAGATGGGGTGGGTGCGAAGTAGGACGTTGGTGCACTGATTCAGTCGTGTGCTTCGTCATTCTTTCCCAATTCGAAATATGTCACGTTATTCGGTAGTCTTACAGGTCTGATCCCTGTATACGCCGGACCATGTCTTCTTGCTAGCTTCGTAGTTTCTTTCCTTGTTCGTGTACCATGATTAATCTCATTCTGGAGTCACCAGCAGTCGAACTGTGACGACACATCTGCCCAAGAAACTGGACTATGCGTATTTCAATGAAGATCAAACCACGTGCAATGAGCAACAAAGTGAGACCGTGTGTTTGTATGTCATGTATTTGTATAAGCTAATGAGTGAGCAGACTAAACACGGGTGTCATCGACTGTGATACGTGCTTTTCCCATCAAGGCCGGAGCCCAAGAATAATCCATTTGCGGGAAACAGCCCTTCCGTTTTTCTTCGCTGGCCAAATGGCCTTTTTTCAAAGAACTCCATGTCAAACCATCCCAAAACTTTCCCGGCCGTGTCCAAAACTTTGTTGGGTGGGGCAGAAGGAGAGGCATGAGAACAAGAGACAACGTCCAGGCGGTAATAACTTCTGCTCGTGCAGCTGACAGTTCAGGCACCAACTAAGTGGATTAGACGTGTCTGCTGAGGGGGAGACCAGGCGACTGGCGACGGCAACGAGGACGTATATACCACCTCCCGGCGAGGTACCACATACGATGCACCAATGCGAAGGGGCGGAGTCGTGGTCGTAGTCGTGTAGCGATACCGTGCCGCGGCAGGGGCCCTACCCGTCGTGGTAGTTGTCCTCGTTGTTGTAGTCCCCGCGGGTGAGGCTGTAGTCCTTGTCGTTGTGGTCGTCGATGCCGGCACGGCCCGCCGCACCGGGATGGCGGGCAGCAGCACCGGCTGCTGGACCGCTGCCGGGCGAGGCGGCGCAGCAACAGTACGCTGGATCACCGGTGCCGGGCGAGGTGCCGCATTGCGTGGCGGACCGGCAGGATATTTCAGAAGGGCCTGACGTATCTGCGCTGTAAATGGCTCGGCCGAAGCCGAGGATGGGGACCGACGCGGCACCGGCGCCGTCATCGTCATCCTTGTTGGAGTTGTGGCTTTCGATCGCGGGAACCGCTGGTAGTTTGAGACAGGCAAGGCGACTTGCTTCTGTGCATGAGTGAGTAAATAAATGAAGATCTTGCTTGCCTGATACCACTTACTTCGGGACCGACAAGGGCCATTGTTGATGATATCGGTATAAAATGCTGAAGTGATATTGGGGAACTCGACTTGAACTAAATGGATTCCAGAGAATAAGCGGGTAGGGTTACTCTCGAAAGAAGGCAGAACTTCGAAGGCCACGAGTCTATTATAGATAATCTTTTAGGTACATGGGAATTTCTACATCTCCCTGACTGGTTGTTGTTGGACCATCGTTAAAGGATGCGGGTAGGGACTGAATCAGGAGAGCAGCATCCTGTAACAACCGCCGTTCGAAGCTTGACCCACGTTACATACGTATTCACACAAGATTTCCTGTTCTGTGTGATGTGATCGGCGGCAGCCGGTAACGGCGCAAACCTTGTTGTGCATGCTTTCACGTGCATGTTACCACACAGGGCCGATCCTGAGTTCTAGACACAGCAAGAAGCCGACATATCACCCTACCTCCATGCAACATGGAGTTTTCATGACTCTGAAGCCATTTGATCACATGCACTCCAGGCTATTGAAGAGACGTCCATGCGTCACCTATGCATCATTTGAGATCGAGTTGCATGACTTGCTTGGCAATGCCACAGCTCTACCACGTCACGTCGCGAGTCATTCGATCGATGTCGGACAATCGTTTCCGTTCTCATGTGAATAGTCCGCCACCACCCGTCAAATGAATTGGAAGGTCTGAATTTGATCAATGCTTCACTTTATCACACGCACCCATGACGACCACCGTACCACAAGTACCAAAGGGTTGGTGTACTGGTTAGGAACCTATGGTGAAAGAAGCAGAAAACTGGACTTGTCTAGGAAGTATCGGTAGATACGTTGCGTGTCATGCCTCATAGTACAATACAGCTTCCATCCACATACACACGAATTTGCATTCTCATGTTACAGCGTCCCACGACCAGAGTCGACTATCCTCGATTATCTTGCTTGATAAAACCCAAATGATCTGTGTATACCTACTAGTGAGCCCACCATCAACAGGCAACGGCCAATGATTTGTTATATCTGCCTTTGAAGAAGGCATTGTGGTACCGGAACCATTCGTATAGTTAGTGCGGACAAAGTGTCGAGACTGATCATGACGCACACAAAGAAGAGTGAGGAACGACTTGCTCTCTTTAACCACACCCAGGGGTATCAAGCCTTCATCCATACAAAAACCAGAGAGCACACGCTTTGTTTATTATTAAACTCTCCAACAAAAATGGGAAACCCAACCAGGATGCCCGAGTCCTAACGGAAAAGTCAGAGCCCGGATGCTGTAATTATGGGAAGTATAACATAATAGCCAGCCAAGAGCATACCAGAGGGTACAGCCACGTGTCACCCACATCACTTGAGGTCTATCGCACAGGGTGTTCGTGACGCAATGCTTGGACTCATGTCTCCTTGCGCGACGATCACCGAACCCTATCTACCCACGTCTGCTACCGTTGACCAGGGGAATCAGAGTGTTGCAATTCCTTGTTGGAGTGCCGTGAGGTACGACCAGTCCGCAGCATCTTCCCCCAGGCTCCACGCCACTGGGTCTCTCGTTAGCCTGTGCCAATGATTAGATCTAGCAGCGTCGCGATGATGGCTTGGAACATGACAACTTACTGACGCCTCCCAAACCAAGTTCCTTCACGATTTCACGAACTTCTGTGCAATGAACTCGGGCGTGTCCCAAGTCCAGAAATACTTCGTATCAGAGTCCCAGTAATATTGACCGCCCGCAGTCTCGTCAGCCTTTCCTTTGGAAAACATCGCATTCCCTTGTTGAAACGTGACAGCGCCAGACAAGCCGCTGTCGGCGCCCGTGACGAGATCCTCCAGAGCGACTACCGGGCAGCCGAGGCCCTGGGGGCAGGGGCCTGTTGTGGGGAAGTACTTGGCGTAGAAGGCGAAGCCAATATTGATCTTTGCCGGGTCGATGCCTCGGTCGATGTACCGCTGGACAGATTCGAGGGAGCCTTGGACTGAGGTGTGATGTGTTGTCGTTGTGGTACGTCTAAACCCATGCCACTATGGTTAGCCATTGCGCCCGTTTAAGATACGTAAGTACACATCGTGTGTATCTACCTGTTCATGAGATCATAGGACATAACCTGTGATGTTTGTTAAGTCTGCTGCCACCCTTCATGATAGCCGACATTTACATTGACCACGTCAACAATATCATTGATCTTCGGGACCTGGTCTGCAGTGAAAGCGATCATGGATCGTTCCAGTCCTGGTACAGCAATGGTAAGTTCCTTCCCATCGATCGCATCCCTAATCGCTTGCAGCAAGAGCGGATAGGTCGCCTTCTCGCCGACCTTCACCGCGTCGGGGTGCTGCTTGTAGTCTTCGCCATCTCCGCCAGGGTATTCCCAATCAATGTCTACCGATACTTGTTAGCGAGGTTTCAGTTGGCGTGGTTCCTCCTGGTGCACCCACCGACACAGTCGTAGCCGTGCTCCGCGAGGGTCTGATTGACGTTTCGTGCGTACAGCTCCCTAGATGGTCCATCTGCTGCGGCGACTGAGAAGCCAGCGGTATCGCCCCATCCGCCGATGGACATGCACATCTTGGTGCCCTCGTCGAGGTGGGCACGCAGAGTGGCGACGTCGACGAAAGGGGTGTATGGGATGGGAGGGTCACTTGTGAACAGTGCACTGCCTGCAAATGCAATAATGACATGAGTTATGCCTGCTGCATTCTCAGGAAGGCTTCCATCGTGGTGCCATTCGCAAGGTCCCGAACAACTTAACGGATATCCACGGTGGATTAATATAGACGTAGATATTAATAGTAATTTAGTTTACGAGTACCTTTGCAGCTTTAATAATTAACTTAACGATAAAGTTATCGTAAGTTAATATTAACGTAAATATTATAGATTTGTAATAACTTACTATCTTAATATTAATAATTGAGAGCAATATCCCGGATCCGATGAGTGCGTGATGAACGGTACAGCGTTGTTGTATTCAGGAAAAGGTCTATCTACTCTGTTCTGGTGTGCGATCGCTATATATGGGGGCCACGGAGCCTGTGTCACCCGACACGGCAACTGGCAGCCTCATCATGCTTACATACACAGATAGATTCTGCTCACAATAATGATATAAAAGTTTACTAACGTAGCTGACAAGCGAGTTGGCATTACAAGCGAGTTAGCACTCGTTATGAACTCTCTAACTGCCATGTGGAATAACTTTACCACAACGCATTCAATTCAATTCAATCAATCGCATTCCTCTTCTTCAGAGGTTTCCATCTCTATTGTACAAGTTCGCGCATTATGGCCAGTGTTGCCGCAGACGCCACACCGTCGCTCACGCGCTGCTGTGCTTCTTGGACGGCGACTACCTTCACCCCTTTCCTGTCTTGCCAGCTCAGTACTATCCTCTGTAGTCTGCAGACCTATTGCATCTTTAACAGAAAATATTCTTTTTTTTATCAGACGTTTGTTCTTTGTTCTCCAGGATTTATTTAGTAAATGATTGGCCTCCTTTAGCTTACGGACCCGGGAATCAACCAAAGCGACTTTATGCATAAGATCATATGTAGCCTTTGAAAACAAGCTCAATACATCAATTATTGATGTAGATGAGCTTCCCTGGTGATTTCTGACTCGATTTTGGATATAAACCGATTGGTTTACCGCTTTATTAATGGTGGTAGGCGTCTTTGAAGTCTAAGTAGTGTGTGGCAGATTGGGGTCTGGCGACGGTATTTGTATCTTGGATACCATGTTTTGCGACTGCCGCCTCAATTTGTCGAAACCACGCGCGATACGTGTCTAGATCTTTGTTCAAGATCCTCTGGTAGTCCATCCTCTGATAAAAACGCGTCCGGAGGCCTGGTGTGCGTTTAATGAAGTTCCATGTCCAGTTCTTTCCAATAAGCTTCCTCTCGCCATACCATCACTGTGGCACCTGGACCCCAGCAGTTCATCAGAAGCCTACCAACCCAAGCTTTGTCTAACCAAGCGATTGACACTATCTTCCAACCAGCAAGAGCATCACCTGATCAGAAGACTCCCCGTCTCTCTGCAGCCCCTGAAAGAAAGCATATTGACCGATCACGCATACCCCACAAGGCAGAAAGCATTACATGCTACTTGTGGGGCAAAGAGGGCCATATCGCTCTCAAGTGTCCAGACAAAAGAACTCCTCATGTACATTTTCTGAAAGAAAACAATGAGGCCTCTTCTGGTCTGACCCAGGATATTACTTCTAACAACGAGTCAGAAAACTTAAAGGCCTAGGGAAAGTCTTCCACCTAGGCCTCCAATGTACTATCAATCAACTAGCTCACCACTCCCTTGAAATTCCATCACTTCAATCAGACCTCTCTGGCTTGATTGACGGCAATACCTTTGTGATGACTACAACCATCCGATGGAATGGAATTGCAGTGCGTGTGAAAATTTTGATTGATACCAGAACAGAGGTTTATCTTTTAGGCAGCCATTTAATCATGAGCCCCTTGGCTCAACAATGGGAACTCCCTTAAAGACATTTTAATGAGCCCGCCACCTTGAATGGTTTTGGTAAAGGACACTCACAAATTGTCAACACAACGGTTACAGCAAATTTCCAGATTCAGGGAAGAACCTACTGGGAAGCCCCTATCCTGGAAGCAGAGTTTTGGCCCAGCAAGAACTTTGACCTTATTGTTGACAAGCGATTTTTGGCTATTCACAACCTCTTACCAGACTGCCGGCGGAACCGCCTATACTTCCCACCGGAACTACCTTTCCTTACCAACTAGAAGACCGACAACACTAACCCAGCTCGCCAGTGGTTAAGACAACGGGCTATCAATCCTCAAGCCCAGCAGGACATGCTCCAGAGGGATTCACAATGGGAAGATCAAGAGAAACGCCCGCAAAAGATACTACGTCGCCCCCAAGTGCTGGCTACATGGGCAAGAGACCATCATCAGTCCTTACAGGCTATGGAAGACCAGCTAGCCGGACGGGACCGCCCGGCATCCTTGCAAAAGACTTCCCTACGCCAGGCTGTTCATCCTAAGGTTAGCAAAGACGCAATAGTGAACGCTCTGGGCGCGGATATCCACCTAGTCTCAGGAAGTACCTTCTTTAGACGGGCTAGTCACCGTTATAAGGGGCAATATCAACGACACAGCTACGGAAATGTGTTCTCCTTTTTGGTATATGAGCTTGATCAAGCCATTAATTATTCTATTGATAAAGAGGATTCAGAGACTCAGTACCTGCTATGCAGCAGGCTTCCCCCAGAGGCACAAGATTTTATGGATATGTTTTTTAAGACAGAAAGTAATGAGCTACCCCCTTTCTGCAAGAATATTGACCACAAGATTGAGCTCAAGCCAGAGGCCAAGACTCTTTACCTGCACCCCTTATATAGCATGAAGGCCGACCACCTTATTGCCCTCAAGCAATATCTGACAGAATACTTACGCAAGGAGTGGATTGTTTTTAATGCAGCAGAGTATGGATTCCCTGTTCTCTTTGCCAAAAAGCCGAATAGAGGCTTGCGTTTCTATGTCGACTACCGCGAGCTCAATGCTCAGTCAAAAAAGGACCGCTACCCGCTGCCACTAATCAGCGAAACTTTAGAACGTCTGTCTTGTGCTAAACTATTTACCAAGCTGGATATCAGGTCAGCTTTCCACCGAATCCGTATGGATCCGGCCTCTGAGGATCTCACAACCTTCCGCACGCGCTTTGGCCAGTACAAGTACAAGGTGCTCCCCTTTGGACTTTGCAACGGCCCAAGTACCTTCCAGCAGTATATCAACAAGGCCTTGTTCCCATATCTGGACGAGTTCTACACAGCCTATGTGGATAATATCTTGATCTTTTCTGCAGACCTATTGGAGCACTGGGATCACGTCCGCAAGGTCCTCCAGAAGCTCCGTGAAGCTGGCCTCCAGGCTGACATCAAGAAGAGCGAGTTTGCTGTCATATCAACAAAATTCCTGGGATATATAATATCAACCAGTGGCATATCAGTTGATCAAGCCAGATTGCCGCTATGAGGGTCTGGGAAGAGCCTAGGATTGTTAAAGAATTACAGTCTTTCTTGGGATTTTGTAACTTTTATTGACAATTCATAGATAGTTTTAGCAGGATAGCTAAACCTCTTTACCGTCTTACTGTGGCAATCAAGTACCTATGGACCAAGGAACAGTAGAGAGCCTTTGACAACCTAAAGGATGCCTTATGCTCAGCTCCCTTACTCTCACATTTTAAGGAAGCAGCTTCTACCAAGCTGGAAATAGACGCTTCAGATGGTGTAATCTCAGCAGTCCTCTCCCAACAGGATGAGCAAGACAACTGGCATCCAGTGGCCTATCTGTCGCAAACTATGAATATAGCAGAGTACAACTATCCCATCTATGATAAGAAACTACTGGCAATTATCTATGCTATACGAGAATAGAACCACATACTCACTGCCCTTCAGCATCCCCTTCCTGTTTTCACAGATCACCAGGCACTCCAATACTTTGCCACTAAGTGACAGCTTAATGCCTGACAAGCAGCCTGGAGTGAGGATATCTCGGGCCTGGACTTCATCATCTCTTATTGTCCAGGTAGAGAGAACCCAATAGCTGATACTCTATCACAGAAAGTTGTAGATCTGGCTACACAGAAGGCCATCAAGGGTGAAAGTCGCTGCCAGATCCTCCTACCTATTAAAAGGTTCAATGGACCTGTTGACCTGCCTGTGACCGACCCGTCACCTAGTCCAGAGGACAACCTGGTATGTGCCATTGTGGCCACCTTGGAAGCCAACAACCAGGACCCTGACGTTTCTCTAAAGGGTGTTCAGCTTCTTGATGCCATCTTGACAGCCAACCGCTCTTTAGAGACCTTGCTTCTTGAACGTGAAAGAGCTAAACACAGTTAGCAGGGCTACAGTCTTGTTGATAATTTGTTACTAAAAGAGGGACGCCTCGTAGTGCCTAATGAGGGGCACCTACACATACGACTTTGTGATGAGATTCACAGACTACCTTCCCGTGCACACCCTGGTCGGAACAAGATGCGTGCCTTAGTAGCAGAGCGTTACTCCTGGCCAGGTATGGGTGCTTTTATAGACCGCTATTGCGCTCATTGCCCAGAATGTGGCAGAGGTCGCAACTCCCGTCTCAAGCCAGCCGGCTTGCTACAACCCCTGCTTATACCAGATCGTCCTTGGCAACATGTCTCTATAGACTTCAAGACTATGCCAAAAGACAAGCTAGGATATGACACGATCTAAGGGGTGGTAGACCGACTAGGCAAACACCCGTGGTCTATTCCGACATATAAGACATATACAGCCAAGGACCTTGCCACCTTATACTTCAATGGACCTTGGAGGGTCTATGGCACCCCTGAGACTGTGACTTCAGACCATGGTCCCCAGTTCATTGCTGCCTTTTTAGATGAACTAGCCAAGCTCACAGGGATGGACCTACGCCGCTCTACTGAAGAGCACCCTCAGACGGATGGTCAGACAAAGATCATTAATCAGTTCTTCCAGACCAAGTTCCGACTCTTTATAAGCCACTTTTAGAATGACTGGTTTCAACTGCTGCCCTGTC